GGCAACTTAACAATACACTGTGGAGAACAACTATAGTGTACTGAGTTATTCTCCACGACAACCCCACCCCACCCCACCCAATATAATGCAACCCTAATTTTTCGATCTTCGAACATTATGACAAAATACATAAAAAGTTAAGTAAACAAATATTTCGGAATGAATAAAAGAAAATAAAAAGGATGCAGAAGACTCACCTATCCTGAATGGACTTTTAACGAAACAATGAAACTCTTTAAATAAGCAAAAACCCAATGCGGGGAGTACAATAATTGAGGGTATATCGCATTCATTATAAGCGTTATATATGTAGCGCAATAAATGCATGCGTTATACCCACCAATTATTAGGAGTCAGTCAAATTCAAATTTAGCGAATGTTTTGCATGTGCTATATCTCAACGAATAAACGTGCCGTTAAGATATAACGCATTCAACACATGTATTATATATAAATTGGTCATCAGTTAATTTTTTTTATCTATTTTTATGTTTTGAGTCCAAAAAAATAATACTTTGATTCCGAACTCTATTTGCTGTCGCGAAGAAGAGAAAGAGAAAGAAAAAATGTACTAAAGGTCAGAAAAAGAAAAGGTGCAAATTAATTAGTAGTAGTACCTTTTGTCTACTTTTTGGGTTAAAATAAGTATAAAAAAAGGAGTTACGCGACATGAGAGTTGACCAGTGAGCACGTGCTATTTACACGCCCACTCGCACCTCCAGTAGTAGGAAGAGAAATCCCTAGGGATACCTATGTTTTAACACACTCGTTCTTGACATTCTTAACAATAAAATTCTTGTTTGATATTTTAAAAATAATTATTTTTTGTTTGATAAATTATATATGATCATAACAAAAGAAGAAGTCTTATATTTAGTATGATCTAATTTTTAGTTCATCTTGATCCAGCCCACCTCAACCTAAGTAACTTTCGCATTGGACGAGTCATTATTGACTCAGTCCATTTTGATCCGTCCAAAATAAACTCAACCTATCCATTTGACACTCCTATACGTAAGTAATATGATTAGTAAGAATTATCCAAACTTATTTGAGAGTGAGGCATAATTATTTTTCTTTATGCATATTTTATACATATTTCTCACTGCAAACTATGGTTTGAGGAAATATTAATTTCTTCCCACACATACTTCATGATTATATGATCTATACCAATTTTCTCAAGCGAAATTAAATCCAACTTAGAAAATTCTGTTATTTTTTTCGGACGAAGAGAACAGTAATAAAGGCGAAAGTGCACAAATACCCGGTTTTGGGCAACTGGTTAAGCTGTACCCAAATTATTTTATTTTATTTATTTTTTACTCACTTCGGACACAAACTTCAAATAATCCTCGTCTGAAATTTTAAATTTTGTCCGAAGTTGGGAAGTTACAGTTATATATTGTGACTTCAGATGACAACTACTTGGTGCATCCATACATCAGACGCATATGCTTAAGTATATCTTAAGTGCACTTTAACATATTTTAGTCTGAGGGGCAGCCAATATTTTGCATGTACTTAACGTTTTAGTCTGAAGCGCAAAAATGCCCAAAATCAAAAGTATGTTCTTTGAATTTCAACAATTCAACACAATTCAATGCTCAAGTCTACTCTAAATGAGCTCAAATTTGAATCATAAGTTTGAAATATCATAAAAAACAAACCCCCAAAAATCAATTTATCAAAACAACAAATCTAACAAACTTAGTTTGTCTGAATTTGGCAATTGAGAACTTTTCACATATGGAGATCCAAAGAAATTCAACGTCATAATGCCCAAAGCACAGAGGTAGTAGAAGAATGTTTCTTTGCTGACAAGTCCATAGCATGTAAGGGTAAGAAAACCTTTCTAGCATCCTCTTATCCAAAAGTGATTCAGAAAACATAGAAAAAAACTTAGCCATCCTAATTTTACTTAAGAACTCTCTATCTAGCCATCCTAATTTTACTTAATGCTTGGAGAACATCCAATTGCAATGCCTAAATTTTTTACAGTTCCAAGAGGTGTTTCCCAAAAGTCAATCAGGGGCAAAGCTGCTCACTACTTTATCTGCCACTCAACTACCTGCAAATATCACCAAAAATATTACGGAAATAATAGCACTATTTTCTTCGAGTAAAACGATCAAATAAAAATCAGCACAATGTAATAAACTCAATCACCTCGAAAGTTAGCACAACTTGCTAAATTGCATGGAACAGTCCAATATAAGCTCCTCTCACCACCCCACCCCCCACCCCCCACCCNTTTGTTGTCCAAGAACAAAGTTGTCTCTCTATTGATTATCAGATGGTGTGTGTGTGTGAAATGGCCATGATAGTTTCTTTTATCTGTATTACAGCTGCTCTAGGAAGATTATTTCCTCCTTTTATATGCAGTGCCAACAATTTACTTACTCTCTCTCATTAGTCATATATTTTAAATAACTTCTAAATCATGGAAAATTACTTGCATCTTCATAACATACTGATAGTATGACATTGAAGGACAACAACTGGACTAAAGGCAGGGAGGCTACAAAGTTTACGAAAAAGTCTGAGCAAAAACAAGACTTGTTGTATGCTGCCACTAGATGTAACAAGGTACTTAATGGGATGGGAAAATGGTAAAAGTCAATCCCACGGACATCTAACGCCTTTGAAATTTATATAAAATAAATCACCCTTCTTTGTCTAGTATGAGTATTGAGAATCAGGTTTAACAACAAACAAATTGTGATAATGATAGCAGAAGAGAAACATAAAAGTCAGCACAAATCAGCTTAACCCTCGATGCATGTTATGAAGTCCAAGCACCATTATATTATATTCCCATTACCTGCAACCCTTAGATGTTACTCTTCTCGAACGTCATCATACCTCCCAAAGTGGCCAGCTGAAAAAGTGAACGTTTAAGACATTGAGAATGAAGGTAAATCATCACGAAAAAGGGGAAAAAATGAAATGAGACGCATAGCAGCTCCATGAATAAAATGATGTTCCCGGTTTACATAAATAAACATCAGCATGTTAGAAGAAATGAGTAGAAGATGATACCTGTATAATTTATCTGATGTGGCCTCATCCACCACCATGGTAAGATGCAAAGGAACATCAGCACTCGCTCTTATCACAACTAACTCCACTGATTCTCCCACATGCTTCCACATGTCATGAAATAGCTAATGACAATTTGAATAAGAAAAGAAAAAGCTATTAATACCAATAGGATATTGCATTCTTTATTTTACGCATGCTTTCTTCTTGTTAGTGTTGATAGTATTTGTGTGTATGCATGTATATATCGCAGTACGTTTACTTGAATGGTAAGTTGTATTGATCAACTAGAAGAAAAGGAGGGTTCTCGGCAGAGTAGCACGTAGGCTACCAATAAGGTCCAAAACGAAAACCCAAAAAACATCTAGTAATAGCATCAATTGGACCTGATCAAAAAGCCAGGCAGGGCTGATCTCGGGTCTGACTTCCCTTGAGCCATAGCCTGGACTACCAATTAGGATACTTTTTACATGTATATTTTCTCATAACCTTGAGGAAAACGTCTACCCAATCTGATCCAAATAATAAGAGGGATTGAGTGGGTGAACCTAGGCAGTCTCGAAGAAAAAAGAAAACCCAGTATTTTGCAGTTCCATCAAACTATGACCAAGACTGGCACCAATATAGTTATCAAACCGGTCAAAAATTACCCTTTAACATGACCAAGTGGCAACTATCTTCATGACCAAATTGCTAATGCAAATGTAATGAAGTGATGTTTATGTCCTAGGGGCTCATATAAAAAAGACAAACGAAAACACATATTAGAACAAGTGTCTTCCAGAATTTATACATTTTCTATGTTCCTAAGATATATAGCTTACCTAGTAACGATGAGACACGGGCATATAAAAACACAGAATAGCTTGACCTGGTTTACCAACCAACTGGTAGAGCGGCCAGATGTCTAGTAGCTGAAAATTTTCAGCATATAGAAACTACTATAAGCGATTTTTAAAATTTTAGCCTTACTCTTTGCCTTTCTGACATTAGAGGCAAGAACTACTTCAAATGAAAAGAAGGGAAAAACGGTATACCTCCAAGAAACTTCGAACTTTTCTGCCACCGAATTGAATTATGACATCGTTGTGTTTTAGCCCAGCAAACTCAGCAGAACCACCAAGTATGACCTATTAGACAGTTCACCAAATTATCCAGCAATTAATAAAAATAATTTAGTTAATTCAAAACTAACCACATACATGGTTTTGAATAGTAACTAAACAGAAATTCATAACCTGTGCGAAAAAGTTGAACTATGTTGTTTACTTTAATTGGTAAATCAACCACTTGAAACGAATGAATTACATTAAGGCCACCAAACATATTAAAAAGCAAACAAGAGAAAAAACTAGATGCAATGCAGATGCTCATGAAATGTTTTTGCCTCAATGAACTTCAAATCCGGCCACTCATGGATTAAATCAAAGACAAATGACTTGTATCCCCATTTTCTCCAAGAACATCAAAATTATAGAATTAAAATATCCTAGTAATTAATGCATGTCTGCATCGACAAAATTTTGAATGTGGTAAACTAACTCTGAGATACATTAAGTCCACCAACGATAGGACAAACATGAATTTACCATGAAAGCAAAGTAAATGATGAACAGGCATATGCATTTAGCGGATGAAGATAAGTAGCAACCAAATAATGATAAAGTTACAATTTAATTCTGCCTTCAAATATCCTCAAGGAAATTCAGTTTTCACATTAAGTTTCTAATGAAACACTATTCGAATGAATGCAACTTGAAACAACACTCTGGGCACAGAACCTTAAAAGTCCGGTTCTCTTTCAACTGTTAGGTATCAGTGAACGACTAAAGAAAGTAGGTATATGTGAATAATTTTATTAAGTCTTAATGCCAATGTGGCAATGTCGGCCAATAGGCTTAAAAACAAAACGAAAATTGAAATGAGGTTGACTTGGAAGTTGTCCAGTTAGAGGAGGACGCCGGAGCCAATGGTGACCGAAGAGCACCTTTAGATAATATTAAAATACAACACCGAAAAAAGAGGGTACAAGTAATTCTGTTTCTTTCATCGGATCTCTAAGAGAGATAATGATTCCTCAAGTTTGATGACTAACACTAAAAGTTTAAAACTACAGGCTCGATCATAACCAACCAAAAACTTCATAACCACTAATCCTGAGCTCATGGATTTAACAACTTGTTTTTATTTTATAAGTAAAAGAACCAGATTCATGAGAATGTTGCCAAGGTCTAAGTGGCTGGTATCATACCACAAGTATTCATCAACCAAAAATTGATCCAAGCTTGTCACATTTTAGTATAGGCAACAGGGAAAAGAGGGCATCAACAATAACAATCACCTTAGCAAAGTTGCCTAAAACAACTTGTCAATTCACCATTTTTCCAGCAGCCATCAGCCAAGGATAAGCGGTTGTGTCCCTATTAGTGTTAAACAACAGCAACATACCCCGTGTAATCCCACAAGTGGGGTCTGGGGAGGGTAGTGTGTACGCAGACCTTACCCCTACTTTGTGCATGTAGAGAGGTGGTTTCTGATAGACCCTCGGCAAGCAAAAAATACGAATGCGTCTGCCGGGAGTTGACTACCATATATATTTTCACATTAATCTGGAGTTAAGCAATCAGATATCTTAACTGCGCATGCATTCAAATACAACTAAATCCTTTGTGTACTAACATGAGAACATCAAAAAGATAGTTCACAAAGGTGTACCTTTAGTTTACAAAAGTGTACCTTGGTCAGAAGGCACGGCAAGGCCCAATCATCTATGCTCAATCAGCTTAATGCTAGACACATCCTATTGACTGTTTGCCTAGGCTCTTAGAAAAAAACGTTAGGTAAGTCTTTAAGGCACTCTTCTTAAAGACCTCATGGATGTTTTTCAACATTATTATAAACAGTTAGTGGGTCATTGGAAGTGCAGACATAAATGACATTTTCCCTGTGTTTGAACATCAAAATGAGATGCCATGAGAGATGGATAATTCAATAAACAGCACTTAATCAAGTTGGCGAAGGATATTTTGATGATAAATGCCTTAAAACACCCTGCTTTTCCCCCTCCCTTCACAAGAAGTATCATGCTTCTCCATTATAGTCGCTTGTCATAGGCCCAGCAAATAGCTTACTCTTTTCTCTTATCCTATTTTCTTCAACTCCGTTGTTAATTCCCTTTTTTCTTCATCATCATGCATTTCATTACCTTAGTAATTAAAATACATAATTTTGTTTTTGTTGCTTTTTCATAATTAAAAATTCATTTTCAAACAGATCCTAACATGAGTTTAAGAATATACTAATTTATTCTGCATAACTACCCGTTTCATTGTTCCCTGCTTCACATCCATTTCATTTTGTAACTCCTGTTTGACTGTCAATAACTTGGAGGGTTCTGTGAGTCATGATGTTAATTAACAGTATTGCAAATAACATCACTTGATGTAGTCAATCTTGAAATATCAGACTTCAACGACCAACATTACTACGGTATTCCTAAAAAGTTTAGCAGAACAACTGAAATTCATAATTTAGAACATATTCAAATATGTAATACGCCAGTATGCTCAAAGTCTAGAATAACTTTTGACCAAGAAGTAATAATGCCACAAATGCAGTACTACGTTTATATGACACAGAAATTATTGTTTCATATGAGAGGTAGAATTGTTTCCCAACAAAAGGATGGCCTAAAAAGAGACAAGCTCCCGATCCAAATGTCACAAATCGAAATGTTTTGATATATTAATTGTAGCACTTCATATAAATTTGGCCGCCCATGAAAACACTAAATGCTACTTTATTGCTCTTCCCTAATATATACATGATATATGTGAAACTTTTCGAATGATCTTCTAGTAACGCTAAAGTAACTTCGTAAAATAGAAGCTGGAGATTGGTAAATGAATTGTAACTACTTACTATAGTTGATGGTGTTTGCCATTCTTTTACACGCCTCTTATATCCTATATGAAAATCGTGTTGATACTAATCTTTTTGCAAGCATTATGCCCAATCTTGCATTTGTTGCATCTTTAAAATTTCAGCAGTTACAAATTAAAATAAAGTGTTTTTCTTTATGTACATGCGTAACATGGTCAGTGAGGATTCATATAATCGACTGCAACTTGCTTGGGACTGAGGCGTGCCGTTGTTGTTTTTCTTAATGCACATCTTATACAAACGGGCACCTCACATCCATCAGAATGCCTTGCACCGATGCCTGGCCTACTATTCTACCTTGGTGCTATAATGTGCCTACTTTCTTTGACAACTATGAAATAGTGGGACACAATACCATTCAAAGAACAACAGTTTTCCACAAACAAGAAAAAAAAAACTGCAATAGAGAGCATACCTCTTCAACAATGATGCCTTCCATGACTTCAGGGAACTTTGAAATAATTCTTTCCAGAATTTCTAAGTCAGCTGCATAGAGATTAGTTACCTCCATCCCGAGCCACGGCCGACGTGGTTGCCTATGATAGAGCAAAAATTTAAGATTAGTACCAGGTATTTGGGTGATTAGATTTTTTATAAGCCTAAACTCCCTCAATAATTTTTCTTCATTATAGTTGACATGTACAAGCAGATTATCAAGTAGCAAGAATTCTTTGTTTAAGAGTGTACAACATTCAAAAGATAAATTATAAGTGGAACAACTTAAAATTTTAGCAGAAAGACAAACACACCAAGAAACAGAGATCCACTATGGATATGAGAAAGGCACAACAAATCTCGAAAAAAATTACATAAATAAAGGTAATAATTAATTGCTTTTGCAAAATTTTCTAGTCACTTGCAGGTTTATTCTAGAAAATAAAAGCTAGGCTACAAAACATGTTTCTTTCTTTAATAAGGTAAATATTTTATTTTTTTATAAAGGATAAAATAAATAACTTTATTAATGTGAAAAAAACATCCATATATAAGCCGTATACAAAAAGTAGAGAACATACATAACTACAGAATACGTTCAATGTAAGATATCTCATAGAAATATTCGATATGTCAACTGGTCCATTATACAATTTGTGACATTGTGCATGCTTTAAAAAATATTGAAGAGATGAAATTCAAGCATAATACATGCAATTGCAGAAAGAAAAATGGTACCACCACATATCAAGCATCCTGCAAAGGCAAAAACAAGGCAAAGATTCGGAGCTTACCTATATTTCTTATAATGTTCCCACCATATGGAAGCTATATTGATCGGCAAGAATGCAATAGAGGAGACATCATGAAAGCATATACCGATGATTTCTCCATAGTGATTGATAAGTGGGCCGCCAATACCACACTATAACAAAGAATGAAAACAAAAAGCCCTAAATTTGCAATCTTTCTACTAAAAATCTAACATACACTACAAGAAAGAATGAAAAGAAAAAGCCCTAAATTGGCAATCTTTCTACAAAAAATCTGACATACAATAGATAGATAAAATATGCATATATTTGTCATTGATTAAGAATATATTTAGAAGCAAAAAGAACAAAGTGACAAAACCACCAAAGTAAGAGATAAGTGTGAAAGAGAGTTTTTCTAAAACAGAAAGTGTGAAGGAGTTACTCTTGTAATTCTGCAAGTTGCCATGAAAAGCTCTTTACACTCGAAGTAGTCGTAGTCGCAGCGATCAATGCTACAAGAATCAACCAGAAAAAGAATTGAGGTGGAAAGTCACAATAACCAACATGGTATTCATGTACGAAATAAGCAATGTGTATTTGTGAGTGCCTGCGTGTTCTAAAAATCAACACATTATGTTAACAAAACAGCTTACTTAGGTATATGAGAAAAACATGTTCTTACCACCCATAACCCACCATACCCCCTTTGCATTTTAACTATAAGAAAATAAAGCAAGGCTTCAGGGACACCCTCTCAATAACCAGCTTAAACTTGTTTATCTACGAAAAAATTCCAATTTGCAGACTGGATGTATTGGGGATCCTCGGCTAAAATATACACCAGTAGAAAAACTGACCAAAATATTAATGCGTTGCATATTGAACCACGATGGCATAGTCCACAGTCAGGAACAGATCCCTTTCTCTAAGTTACTAAGTACATGCAATTGCAGAACCAAGACTCAAAAAGAACAGGTGCATAGCACATAAATCATTTACTGATGAACAAAATGCAAATATTGAATTTCTAGACACATAGGGAAGCAAGAATTACAATTTGAGAAACTCAACAGTATCAACTTAAGCCCTCCAAATGCATGATACTAGTTGATAGCAAGGCATATTCAAAGGCAAAAGAAATAGTTTAAGAACCAACAACCTACAGAACCTACAAAAATAGTTTAAGTCATAATTATTTTTAAGATAGTGAATACAATGAAAAATCAACATTCACGAGTATTTTGTGCTGAACAATTTTCATTAAAAGTTAAAAATCACATAATGCATGTACCTACAATCAGAAGAACGCACTCAAAAAAGAAAACAATGGACAAGAAGTAGAATAAGGAATAATATCAAGGACAACTCCAAAGATAATTAAATTTCAAGTGCTAAAGCTAAAACAGAAATTCTAAAGAGCAAAAAAAAAAATGTCCAACTTGAAAAGAGGATAGAATGATCTAATAGTTAACCAAGTCTTGGTACAACTCACAGACTCCAATGAAAGCTAAACAAATCCTCCAGCAAGAAAAAACTATCTTATCCAATTCATAGACAGGATCACAATGTTACGCCCATTCTGCATCTCATAATTGACCAAAAAGTGACAACGTCATCTTAAACCCCTGATTTTCACAGTCTAACCCATCTTAACAAACACATAAACCACCTATTATCCCAAAATATTTGTACTCAAAAAGAAAAGATATTTTTCAATTATCTAGTCGATTATTTACTAGCACGTGCATCAATCAGAAGCATTGTCAACATTGAAGTTGTTGACTTAATTTCTTAAATTGATCGCATTCATGTGAATAAAATTTTAATACGAAATTTGATACTAGACCTCACACTTAAAGATAAAAATCTATTACATCTCAAGGATTCATTAAGCAATTAAATATATGAGAACGTTTTCTTTTTCTTTTTTTATTATTGGTATTTTGTATATGGTTGGAGTTATTTCAGGATACACACTTCTTTCTTTGCCTAGGAAGAAAGGTGTATTAACCCAAAAACAAATACAATAAATGGATAAAGATAAGTTCTGCAAAGTGGTTGTTAGACCGACTAAATTGTATAGGAACGGAGTATTGGCAAGTCAAGACTTCTCGTGTTCAAAAAATGAAAGTAGCATAAATGAGTATGCAGAGATGGATGTGTGGCATACTAGGAAATATATGATTAGGAATGAAATATTCGGGAAAAGGTTGGAGTGGCCTCCGTGGTGGACAAGATGCGGGAAGCAAGGCCGAGATAATTCGGGCATGTGAAGAGGAGATGCACACATGCCTCATTGAGGAGGTGTAAGAGGCTGGCTATGGTGGGGCCAAGGAGATGTAGAGGTAGGCGGAAGAATTATTGGGAAAGGTGATTAGGCAGGACATAGCACATCTTCAGCTTGCCGAGGCATGACCCTTTTAATAAAAGGGTATGGAGGTCAAAGATTATGGTAATAGGCTAGTAAATAGTTGAGCGCAATTCTTTTTCGTACATGTATTGTTTTTCTATATCTATAGTACTAGTGTATTCTCGTATTTCCTATTCTTAGGTTTCCAATACTGCCTTTTATTTCTTTTACTTCGGTTATCTTATTTTCTATATGTTATATTGCTTCTCTTTACATGGATTCTTCTCTGTCGTATTTCCTTATTTAAACTGCTGTGATTATGTTTGTTTTGAGCCGAGGGTCTAACTTCACAAGATAGGGGTAAGGTCTGCGTACACACTATCCTCCCCAGACCCCACTTGTGGGACTACAATGGGTATATTGTTTTTGTTGTTGAATAAATTAGAGGTAAAATTAAACCTATTTTATTACAATTTTAGGCTTCATTAACTTCCCCTCCTCCCATTCCTGTATTTTGAAGGAAGTGATTGTAGCAAATTAAAAGTCAAATAAAACACTGACCTGAATTCACCAGGGGCAGCCATGATATCATACGGCTTCTTATTGAAACGACCAAGTGCAATAACTGAATCTCCAGGAATAAGATCAAATGAGTTTGAATGCGGACGAAGTTGAAATGACTTCTCTTCCGTAACTCTGAGCTGACTCGGACGAATCATGATAGAATCATTTAAATGAGCTAGGGAAGCAATTGGAAGTGGGGAGTCTGATTGAATCCTTATAGCAGCAACATTGTAGTGAAAGTCATACGCCTCAATATGACCATCAAATGCTCTTCCATCAAATAGGTGCACAATAACCTGAATAAATAGTTATAACTATCAACTAATTTGACAGAAGTTGGCAATAGCTTTCAAAGGAGACTAAGATATCAAGAGATTAACAACATGAATTTAGTTAGGAAGTAGTGAGAAAAATCTGAGAACGTGATAAAAATAAGCTAACCTTAATGTCATCTGCTATAGAATTTCTAACTTTAGAGCACCTAAGGAGACTCGCAGTGGTCAATATTATACTAGAAGTGTCAACACTTTCTATAATGGTTCCAGAACATTGAAATATCTCCTCTTTTCCTAATAATGAACATAAAAGTAACAACAATACGTAAAATGATTACAAAAGAAGGTAGAACAACAAAAATAAAATTGAAACAACTAAATCTCCAAGCAATAAAACAAACAAACATCAAAGCAAGCAACAAATATGAGAAAACAAATAAAACTAATATGAACAAGTACCCGAATATGATTCAAGACTGACGACAGATGTGGAAGCTTTTAAAGCAGCCATCTTCGTATAAATATCTAAGTGCTTATTTTGAGCATGTAAATAGAACCTTTGTCGCTTCGGATTGAAACTCTCATAATCACTCGAAAAACCAGGGCCTACACAATTTTACAATTAAAACAGCATAACCAATGAATTTTGGTACAATCGAAATTAGGGCAGAATTTTTAATGAAACTCACTGTTGTCGGGGTCTTCCTTTGGTTCCCTTTTCCAGGGAGTGAAAGCTTCCACCCATTCCCTTTTGTAACTATCATAATTCATAATTTACCTACAAATTAAGCCAATTCACTCTTATATATCCATCTCAAGGATTAAAAATCAAACAGATACAGTGAATTGTAGAGTAGTAGATTTATTTTGCCATATTGCCTATTTTTGTTATTCAAGTATGTATATTTGCTATAAAGATATAGACATCAAATCAATTATCTACTTTCTTAACACTACTTCTTCATCCATTGGTAAAGTGATATGCGATAATAATTGACATCAGCTTGATCAAAACAAATTCTAACTACATTTAAGCGAAATCTGATTTTCAACGCCACTGAAAATTCAACTTAAATCGTGCCAAAGCATCTCAAGCCCTTTCCCGTACACCACATCAATAAAACAAATAAAACATACAACAAAAGAGCATAAAGAGAAGTCATGTAACATCGAAATTTCCACAAAGGTTTAACCCAAAAAAAAATGTTTTCCATCAAAGGTGTTAACTTTGTATCTGTAAGTTGCTCTTTCTATTTCTTACTACTTTTTTTTTCAGAGGATTTCTGTGAAGCATTCTGATTTATGCAGCAAAACAAATACTAATGTTCTGTTAATTTGGACTAATGGATTTTCTTAAAAAAGAGCCCGCGAGCTGAAAAGAAGAGGAAAACAGAAGGTTTCAGGGTTTAACCGTAGCTCCGTTAATCCCTAGCACTTTTCAGATTACAAACTTGGTTTGGACTAAAAGAGAGAAAATTAGGGAGAACGCAGAATATAAACTCACGAATAGAAAGAGAAAACACCACCGAGCGAGAGTACGAGCTTTCACCCAAGCGTTGGAATGCGGAAGCTAACAAGCATATAATGACAAAAATATTGGAGTCTTCTGTTACATAGTGGGTTTTTTTGGGGAAGACATTAAAAAAATAAGGAAAAAAACAAGCATAATTACATAAATAAGAGATACAGTATAAGAAAAATATACAAAAATGTTATAATCTATATCTAATTATGATATGGATGGTTGTTACACATCGTTTCATAATATATCATATTGTAATGTATTGCATTGTACTGTATCATTTGATAAATACAATATTTGGATAGATTGTATCGTTTGGTGTTGTTTCATGATATCAAGCACTAGCAATATAAAAAATAAACTCGCAATATTATAAAGAAAAAATATGATATGGGATAAATTTATTATATAAAAGGTAGGTAAATGATAAAATAAAATTATTTAATAATAATAAAGTGTGAGATAAGAGAAAAAGACAACATAACGACGCAACCATACCAAATCGGTCGTTGCATAAATTGGCACATTTCGTCGTTATGTAACGACGAATTTAACGATACGATACAATAAAATTTAAGTAACAACCAAAACAACATTGTATTTAAAGTAACAATACGATACAATACAATAGGTAACAACCATCCAAACAAGTTGTTAGCGAAATGTCATTCGACTTTTTTACTATTTTAAAATAGAGTTAATATTAGATAAAATAGTCATTTAATTATTTTTCTAATATTTAAGACTTTGAAATCAACTAAAACTTGTACTTATTAAATCTTTTTTTGTTTGAACCATATAAAAAATCCTAATACGATTTCTAAATCAATTAAAATATAACATTACATTAATTCTTTCCATATTTGAACATGTAAAATAACAAGACTTCTTACAAATTATATATCATGGTATTTAATTTTTATTAGAAACAAAAGTCCATAATCAAAAGCTTAAGCTCTCTCTCATGCTCTCAGCGCACGTTAGCTAACGTACGTTGGCGCGTCTGCCATGGGAAGGGGGCGAGGTCGAGGACGAGGAAGACAGAAGAAAACGTCGATTCTTAAATCTGGAAGTTCAGTAAGCAATAGTGCAAAAGTTAGGAAGGTAATTCAAGCTCAAACACAAGAATTGAAGACACCGGAACAACAAGGGATAGTGATGACTGGGAACGATGAAGCATCTTCTTCGATCAACTCTGAGGTGAGCAGGAAATTGACTCTAAGTACGCCATTACTAATTGAGCAAAACTGGTAAAACGGTCACTCATAGGGCTGATGAGAAAACCAATGAACAGTAACACTACCTAACCCTAATGATTTACAAAAGAAAGGGGAAATGAGTAAGGAACAAGCCAAAGATAAAATTGAGACCCCTGTAGCCCCTACTGTGATTGAGAACCCTAAACCGATGAACCCTGCAAATCGCAGAGCTGAACCACGAGCATGGGCCAATTTATTTCAGCAGAACCGTGCAACCACTCATGGAATGACACTCAGATACATCCCACTTCATATTGTGAATGGCCAAACAGTGGTAAAATTATATCCTCAAGATGTGGAAAAGGCAGAGGAGAAATGGAGTGTTGCGATAATAGCCTACATCCTTGGATATAACCTTGGATATAATGTTATGAAGAGTTATATTGCTTAACATTGGCTTGATGTTGCTAAACCAGACCTATTCCTTCATGATTAAGGGTATTATGTGATCAAGTTTCAGTCATTAGTAGACATGCACAAAATATTCTATGTTGGTCCTCACACTATCAAAAATAGGCCAATAATTTTCAAACCATGGACACTAGAGTTTGACTTAAGCAAAGAGTTCCTCACTGAAATACCTCTATGGGTGATCTTCCCTAAACTACCTATGAGATGATAGGGTAGTGAAGCACTAAGCAAAATTGCTAGTGCAATTAGGAAACCTCTATTTGCTGATGAGTGAACCGCCAAACAAATAAGAATCTCCTATGCAGGGATGCTGATCGAAGTCAATGTTACAAAAACTTTGCCTGCAGAGATTACTATGTGGGATTCTAGAGGTAGGAAATTTCAGCAAGAACTGGTATATGAATGGAAGCCAAATTATTGTGATAAATGTCAGACCATTGGCCATGTATGCCACAATCAACAAGGCCCTAGAGAGCAGCAGGGAGAGCAACCAAATAGAAGAAGAGAAACCAAAAAAGTTACATATGTATGGAGAACTAAGGGGCCTGTGATACCTGAAGTTGGTCACAAAGAAGTTATGATGAATGAAGTTGGCAACAGAACAAACCAGACCCAAACTGATGCAATACAGGAGAAAGTCCAACCTTGCTTACCAGTGGTGACTCAGGAGCATACTCAGAGGCAACTTGCAATGGGAGTAGGGAATGCAATATCAAACATAGTGGACAAAGGCAAAAAGCAAGCTAGCCCAGAATTGAGCCTAGAGAACTTTCCTATGTTAACACCTACTACTAGCAGGGGTGGATCCAAAAGTGTAACAACTGGTACCAGTGGAAGCTCTTCCCTACCTTATGACAGAGGTGGGAGCACTAAATCCAACCAATAATCTGGTTATTGTGGAATGTCAGGGATATTAATAAGTATTACAAGCGGAAAGAACTCAAAAATTATCTGAAGATCAAAAATATTAAGCTTGCATATATCATTGAAACTAGAGTTAAAGAGAGTAAGCTTCCACATTGCCCTTGGCTAGGAGATACTTACTAACTATAATGATGCAGTGAATGGAAGAATTTGGGTGATATGGGATTCAAACTACTACTTAGTTACTTTACTTAAAGCAGAAACACAAGTTATACATTGCTCTGTTAAAGGTATTATGGGGTATCAAGATTGTATTTTGTCAATAGTCTATGATTTCAATACTATAGAGAGAAGGAAGCAATTATGGGGAAGTTTGACAGAGATATGGCAAAAGATCTCCACAGTGTGTCTAATTGGAGCAGATTTTAACTCTGTACTACAACTACGAGACATAATGCATGGAAATCCAATCAGCATGTATGAAATCCAAGACTTCAATAAGTGTGTCCAGGATTTGGGCCTTAGTGAACTGGCATGGGAGGGTGAATATTATATGTGGTCTAATAAATAAGATGGGAGTGACAGAATATGGAGCAAACTTGATAGAATGTTTGGCAATTATGAGTGGATGATGCAATGGGGTCATGTAGCTACTATATATGATGTTCCTTTCATCTCTGACCATGCTCTTATGAGCCTAAGTTTAACTATTAGCCAAGGAAATAGGAAAACTCCTTTTAAATTCTCCAATGTGTGGGCTGAGTATGAGAGCTTCTTAAGCATTGTTCAACAAGTATGGCAGCAGAGATTACATAGTAAGATTATGTAGAATATCTGAATGAAACTGAAAACACTTAGGTTGGTGCTTAGGAAACTAAATGTTGAAGAGTTCAAATTCATAAAAAGGAAAATTGAGAAAGCTAGAATTGATCTTGCTAGGGTCCAAAGGAGCATAACTACTAATTGCTCTGATGAACTACTGTTAGAGGAGAAGGTACTAATACAAAATCTGGAGAAGTGGGACTTGTTAGAAGAAGGAGCATTGAAACAAAAGGCTAGAGCAAGATGGATAAAACTAGGAGATTCTAATACAAAGTACTTTACAGCTGTTATGAAAGTAAGGAATCGGAGAAAGAAAATTCTGAAACTTACTTCTATTACTGGAAATAGACTAACAGATTTTGAAGCCATCAAAAAGGAGATTGTGGCTTTTTATAAGTCATTGATGGGGTCTGCTACACATTCACTTCCTGATATAGATAAACTGGTGATGCAAAAAGGTTCAAATCTTACACAGCAACAAAGAATTTCCCTATGTAAAGATGTGACTGAAGAAGAGATCTATGAAAGGCTATGCTCCATTGGAGAAGATAAGGCTCCTGGTGTTGATGGGTATAATGCATGCCTTTACAAGAAGGCTTGGCCAGTTATCAACAACAACAACCCAGTAAAATCCCACTAATGGGGTCTGGGGAGGATAGTGTGTACGCAGACCTTACCCCTACCCCGAAGGAGTAGAGAGGCTATTTCCGAAAGACCCTTGGCTCAAAAAAACAAAAAGACAAAAGGGCAAAAAAGAAGACAATATTAGTATCACAACAACAATCATAGGATAAATAGGAACACTATGAAATCCAGAAGAAAGATGCAAAGTAAAGGGAGACAATATTAGTAAATATTAGTATCACCACAACAGTCATAAGAAAAATAGGAACACCATGAAATCTAGAAGAAAGATGTAAAGCAAAAATGATAGCTAGTAAATAGGACCTGCACTGAAAAGCGAAATAGTAAGCCACAACATTCCCATTAGTTATCTTAGACAAAAACCCTACATGGCTAGTTCCACCATGTTACGAAGTAAGGCACNTAATACGGTGTGTGACATCCTCGTCGGTCTCCCCTCCCCCCTGGATAACCGAACCAAGGTACTTAAAGCTGCCTCAACTCGGGATGCCCTGCGAATCAAGCCTCACAGCCACGCCCACTTCCCCTGGCTCAGCGCTGAACTTACACTCCAGGTATTCCGTCTTTGTCCTGCTCAGCTTGAAACCCTTAAACTCAAGAGCCTGTCTCCAAACCTCCAGCCTCTCATTAACACCGGCTTGCGACTCATGAGATTATTGAAGTTGTCTTGGATTTCTTTGCTACTGGAAAACTATACAGGGCTATCAATTGCACTTCTATTACATTGGTTCCTAAGACTAACAAGCCAAAACTGTTAAGGAATTTCGGCCAATTGCCTGTTGCACTGTGCTATACAAACTAGTTTCCAAGATCCTTGCATCAAGAATGCAAGGAGTCATTACAACAGTTATCAATGAAGCTCAAGCAGGGTTTATACCTGGGAGGAGGATTGTTGATAATATAATCTTAGCACATGAGTTGGTGAAGGCCTATTCTAGAAAGAACATCTCTCATCGATTTATGATCAAGATTAACTTGCAAAAAGCTTATGACTTTGTGGAATGGCCATTTTAAGGCAAGTTATAGAAGAATTGGGATTTCCTCAGTTATTCATCTCTTGGGTAATGGAGTGCATACAAACAATCA